TATTGGTTAATAAAATTTATATTTTTAAACATATATTTTATAAGGAATTTGTGCACATATATTATTCTATATATTAAATACAGCACGCGAATTCCCTTGCATTAGGTAATTACTTTTATTTTTTTGTTTCTTCTCTAAATTTATTCCAAATTAGAATTAGCAAATATTTACGATTCACTTGAAGTCTCTCTCTTTGTGTGTGTGTGTGTGTAATTGGATTGATGGCAATTAGGGGAAGCTGCCTTATCGCAGCAAATGCGCTTATCAATTGAACAGTAATTGCAACCCGATCCAGATTTACAGCACGTTCGACCGTTCGCTGTTAAATGCAACGATTCGCATAAATAATAACAAAACAACAAATGTAAAGCCTTCCAATTAGAGCAGCTCAGCCATTACAGGTGGGGCGTTGGCGATTGGAATGGGCGTGGTTATGTCATTGGCCGTGAATTACGAAGGTGAAAATCATCAGTCAACCAAAAATTCAATTGGCCTTAATTCAAATCGTGTTTTTCTGTTACGATTTTGTTTCGGAATGCAAATCACGAACTGAGCAAGAATTGCAAGCAAAAGGAGGAGCTTGAGTTGAGTGTGAACAGTGAAGAGATATCCTGTAGTTGGATGGCAAGATGTAGATCGTTAAATGTAATTATTAAAGCTTAAATATGATAATTTCTGCTAGATTAGTAGCAAGATAGACCAAATAGACTTTGGAATACCCTGTAAATAGAGCTAAACAAGTCTACCACAAAAGAGTTCTGTTATCTATAGATCTGTTATCATATAGTAAGATCTCATATCTACTTTCTTCAGCTATAAATACTCATCCAGCAGCCCATTATACCCTTGTTAAGTGGACCTTCTGTAACTACAGGGTATAGAAAGCTTCCTTGGAAATCAAAGAAAACCAGATTATGCAGCCACCGAATGTTATTTGCAGTAGCTGCTGGCCAGCTTTTTGTATAGCCCGCTTGCACCTGAAAGCGAGCAATAACTGCAAGTTGCACGTTGCATGCAGCAAGTTGCATGCTGCACTCGGCTGGATGATGCTGTCTGCGGGCTAGCCTGTCTGGCTGCCTGGATGCCTGCCTGCCTGCCTGCCTGTAGTTCCCA